CGGGGTGTGTCGAAATTGGATTTCGCGCTTGCTTCAGGAGGCTTTGTGCACTTTCAGCGTCGCCGCTTCTTGTCCCGGTAGCTGCTATCCAATGCGGTTGCGGAATCGTCCGCCCAGGATTCATGATCTTGGTTCTGCAATCCACAGTAGTCGTTGACTTTGTTGCGGCGCTTCTTCTGATCTCATGACCTCCAAGTGTTCTTCTTGTTGAGAAAACGCTTGGTCGTCTTGATGTTTCTCTGCTTGGCTTCGGATCGCCTCCGGGTGAGCGGCAGGTGCTTTTCAGCGTCACTTGTTCCACTCATGAACGTCTCGTTGGTGAGGTGCTTGCGTCTCTCCGCTGAGGAATCTTGTAGTTGGCGATGCCTCACGTCGTATTCCTGGAACGCCTAATCCAAACACCATTGTGACCGCACAATCTCGAAAGGTTCGGTCATACTCGGATTTGTGCGCAGCGCACGCCGCATGGTGGACTGCGTGTTGGCTGAGGCATCAATGGCGCAATCAAAACGGTCAATGGGTGGCAATGCTTGAGTGTCATTCGTCATTTGGAAAGAGCTTGATTTAACCGTAGATCAGACCGTTGTCCGGACAACAGACTTGTTGGAAATTGCTGAAGGTGTTCACGGATTTGTTACCATCTCCGGTGATTGCATCGCGCAAGATGCTTTTTGGCAGTCCTATTGAAAAGGTCAGGAAACTCAATCGTTGCAAGAGGTAGTCCTGCTCGAGTGACTGGCGACGGCCTGTGCGGGATCTTCCAGGGCCTTGCGCAACTCGCCCTGGAAATTATTGTTCTTCTTGATAACAAGTGATTGGATTTCAATACGACGCCCTTGTGTCCCGTGGTGGATGAACGTCTGGACGAGTTCCTTCATCTTGGTGGATTCCTCAAAGAATGCATCTGCTTCGTTGATGCACAGGATGTGTGCACTGCTGCAGAGGAGCGTCTTGTTCAGAGGTGGATCGTGAATTGGCGTGTCCTTCATCTCTCGATCGTTCAGCTTCCTGCCTTCACCGTGCAATCGGCCTTGCTGTGGGTTTTGGCTCCACAGTTCCAACACCGCCCCGCTTTGTCCGGAGCCCACTTGCAGCTCCGGCCTGCTCTACACCCATTCTCCGAGCTGAAGTACCTGCAGTTGCTGGTGTGAACCAGCATGCTCATTTCCACAGCTCATCGCCTTCACCTTGGGCTGCACCACCCCTTCACCAACCATCAACTTTGCTGTGTCCATCTCGATAACAATTAACTCCAGATACCCAATGCTGTAGGCGCTGTGTCCAGTCCCAGCTGTGACCCTGCCTGGGCCACCCTGAACGCTTGAGTCCCTCCTTTGTTCACCAGCTGAACCACTCGTTCAAGCGCCACAAACAACAAGGTTGGATCCGAAGCGTGGCTCCAATTACCTTCGCCACTCCCGCAAGGCTGTTGCAGCCTCCGCATAGCTCCTCATATTGCCAGGTCCGTGAACTTCTTCAGGATGAGCCAGACCTCCAGGTTGGTAAGTGGCCAGAAGTCTGCAAAGTACCGCAGTCGAAGTTGTTTCACGTGCCGAGATGAGCTCTTTTCCAAGGAGCGTCACACCCCTCTGCTCCGTCCTGACGAACCTTGGGGTTAGCCGATCTGGCACGTCGACTGTGATCTGGAGCAACGGTGTCGATTTCAACCAGACCTCATAGCCTTCGCTTGCCCCATGGTTCCAGCCCACCACTCCGCTGCACCTTGCGAAAGATCACTCATCTGAGGCCCCACCTGCGCTATCCAGTCTCCCAAAGTCAGCGGCGAGTGGTCATACACCAGCTCTATTTTCCCACCAGCGCTATTCCCCACAATCGCTGGTCTCAAAGCTCCGGATCTTCCATATCTTCAGTTTGCTCTTCATATGGTTCTTGCCATTCATGTAGTAGGTCTCGTTCTCCGCCTGGTCGTAGTGCTCGCGGATCCTGCCCCCAAGCTTCACTTTCCGTCCTACCAGGACCACGTAGTTCTCCTTCTCTTCCAACAGGTCTCCCCCACATAGCGCCAGGTCTTCTTGCCTTGCCTTTTCCGGCCTCATCGTCGTCGGCCTTCTCGTTGAAGCCCTTCTTCATTCCCATGTAGTCAAGCTCCCATCACCCGGACGTCGCATTTCTTCTTGCGAACCTTGGCCTCCACCATTGGCCATTTCTGCTTCCATTCCAGCCCTTTCCAGGTCTGCGGTGAGGTCTTTCTTTATCTCGCTCCAGAACTCTTCGCCGATCGTCCGGTTCAACGCCGCCTCGGGCCGCACACCGATCTGCTGATGTTGCCCTTCGAGTTGACCGCCGCCATCACCAGGTTCTTCGTGAAGAGCTCTTTCTTCTCCAAGCTTCTCGTCTGTTCCCGGCACCGGTGGCAATCCGCTCGGCCGGCTCGCCCTAAGCACCGCTTCTTCTCGTGCTCTTTGGCTCCAGAACGGGTTTACCGCAACCCCCATCTGAATTTCTCTTCGTCGTTCTTCCGCGAGGCAAAAGCAAACACCAAACAGACACAAATCACTCTTGACTTTCCACAACAAACTGAGTATGTAGGTGTAAACAATGTATTGGCTTGGCCTTGTATGCCGTAGCCTTTAAATAGAGCACGGAGGGGCATTTATTTTAGGATTCTTTTTCGGTTTTTTAAATTATTTTTTCGCTTTTGGCTTCTTGGCTTCTTGGCGATTTGGCTTCTTGGCTTGGCTTTTAGGCTTCTCGGCTTTTGGGCTTTTGGGCTTTTCGGCTTTTTGTTGGTTTATGCGGCTTTTGGCTTTTTGGCTTTGGCTTTTCGCATCCTCTGCCCGATGGTTCGATTCCCGGAGCCCCTTTTCTGACTTTAAGAACCCTAAGCCTGAGCCCTGAAAACCTCAACCCTACCCTAAGAACCCTAATCCTAAACCCCAATACCTTAGTCGCTGCTATACGCATTCCATGTTTGCAGTGTTCTTGAATCGGTAACTTGCCGCTTCATCTTGACGTCTGAGTGCTCAAAGCGTGGGAACCTTGAAGCCTGAACCTGAAACCTAAAAACACTAAACCTAAGCCCGAAAAAAAGCAAGGCTGTTCCTTGATCTGGGCCAAGACGATATCAAGGAACAATGCACAAGGCAAACGGCAAAACGCAAAGCCTGCAGTGCAAGACTGTCATCCCCAGCATCACTGCAAACTCAAAAACATTGGTCACATCATTCCTGAATTGCGTTTCCTGACTCACGTTTCCGCGTTTCCTGACTCACGCTTCCTGTTGTGATCTTAATTTACTTAATCGTTATCATTTTCGCTTCTTGACTTGCCTCTAGCTGTTTCCTGACTCGGTCTAGTCTCACGCTATGACCCAACCTCCCCCTCCCGCGGCATCGTTGGAGAAAAGATCGCCCGAGTCCATTCAAGAGGATTGATTAATTTCCCTCACCTTAACGGCAACACAATCTTGCAAAACAGTGACAAGAAGCACGAGCGCGAGAAACTCGCGCATGCTCAGAAGAGGCAGCGGCGCACTCTCACCAAACTACGTTTTGCTGGAACAAGTAATATTGCTCCCAGCACCTGTTCGGTTCAGCGAGAGTCATTTGTATACAACACTACCAGGAGCCTCAAAAACCGATGAAAATGTCATACCTACAAAAAAACACAATGTTTTTAAACACGATGTTTTCGGGAAACACCGCATTTTCGATTTCAAGCATTTTCCCATACATTCCTTCAACTCGTCATCCGTTCTCAAAAGATCTCAAAAGCATCATCTCAACCTCAGAATCTCCTATCGCCCTCCCCTTTTGCGCTCGGAACGAAATCAGCTTCGCATTCGCCACTCGTCTTTCGCAACTCCAACCTGAAAGAAGGAGGCCGGGGACCCAAATAGTCAAAAGTACCAGACACTTGTCAAGCAGCAATGCCATGATGAGGGCGTGCTGGCTTCGAACAGCGCGCAAGCTCAAGCAAAGACCGTGCTTTTGCTCACGACTTCGTTGTTTTCCAGCAACATTCTCGAATTAGCGCATTCGTGGTTGAACCCGAAAAACCCATAGAATTTTCACGGTTTGCCACGCTTTACTACGGGCTCTCCACGGTCTAGCTACGGGTTAGAAACCACGATGTTTTCCAAAAACACAATGTTTTCGGTTGGGGCTGCGGGCTTTCTACGGGTTTCTACGGGTTTCTACGGGTTTTCTACGGGTTTCTACGGGTATTCTACGGGTTAGCCGCCAGGATCCCGCCCCATTTTCTAAAAAAAACTCAAATATTTTTTTATATTTTTATAAAAAAGAAAGAAAAACAAACAATCTCAAAAGGTGTCACCTGGTCTTGTTTTGCACCAAAAGGAGCTTTCGGATTCCAGCACCCCCTTCAAACTGGTTCGGTATGACCTGGCGCCAGTCTTCAGGTGCCTGTTGCTGTGAAAGGTACTTCAAGACTGAAGCCAGCTGCACACCCTGGCTGTCAGGCTCATCAATGTGGTCCTTAGAATTTGAAGCATACTCAGTATAGAGCGTTGCCCTCAGTTGAAATCTTAATGGGTGATGCCTGTGTGAATCCACTCCCGACCCTTGCCTTTGACCCTTTGCTCCAAATGAGTGTTTGGCCTCAGAAGCCAATTTTTCTGGGGGTTTTATCAAAAACACGATGTTTTTCCTGAAAACACGATGTTTTCAGAAAATCGAGAAAAAACACGATGTTTTAGTCAGGGTACGACATTTTTACAGGTTCTTGAAGCCCTAGGTAGTGCTATGATATTGCAAGCACTGAGAAAATTCTCAAAACGAGCTGGGAAAGCGAGCCTATCGCTCTGCACATGTCGCACATTTGGGTCTCTGGAATCAAACATCGTTTCGTGTCTGAGGTGCATGCGCTGTTTGATTTTGTGGCTACAAGCAATCTACGACATTCTGGTAAGGATGTTGTGTACCAGACCCGCACGGCAGCAGTGAGTTGCGCACATGGCAAGGTTCAACCTTCTCTCTTCGCTGTCCATCTGTCTCTCTGATGAGACTCTTTCCCAGTGCCTGAACGTTGAATTTCTCGAGTCTTTCAGATTAAATAAGATCGACCTGAGTCGAGTCGTGGCAAAAGAAATGCAGATGCAGAAACGCCATCGTCGTTAAGTGCCCCGCCGAGCCTGATGCATATATGCCTGGCATCGTACGCCTTCCCAGCTTTGTGGCCCTATGCATATGACCGCCTCCTTCTTCGGCAAGGCCTTGTTTAATTCCTGAGCTGTGACTCAAGCGATGGAATCAAAATCAAGAAATTCACAACTTCTATCTCACATGGGTCCTCTTCGATGTCTTCCGCAAGGCGTACCGGATCCTGGGCCAATGGAGATGCTGAGAGACTTCAAATGTCAGTCGCTCGGTCAGCTCGGTCCCGCATGCTCTGCTGGGTTTCGCCTGCGTCAATTGGCTTCAATTGGCTTCTGAAGTGCTTCTCTGGGCTTCTGGCCACCTTTTGCCTCAATTTCCCCTTCCTCCTTCCCAAGAGCTTCCACCAACTTCAAGCGCACCTTGCCATAGCTCCGGAAACCGCTAGAAGAAACAATGCAGATCGGGCCTTCTCTCTGTACGATTCATCGTTCTTTCCATCCCCCTGCAAGTCTTGCAAATGCAAAAGGAAAGGCAAGCAAATTGCTTAGCCTGAGAGGCAAGCGACATGCTGGAGCTAGCCTCAAAACTGCGTGACATCGAGGGACCTAAACTGTGTTCGGCCCCACAAGACTAGCGAAAAACGCACCATGATGCGAGCAATAGAAGAGTCTCTGCTATAGTTCCACGGCCCACTTACTAGGGCATCAGCTCTGTCCAGTCGAGCCTTGCGCGCAAACGCAGGGCTTGAGTCGGGGAATTCAAAGCGCACGCCTCTTCGTCGAAATCCTGGGCGAGCTTCCAAGTGCATAAAATTAACGCGTGATTGTGGCCCCCAACCTTGCCAAATATCGATATCATGTCCGAAGCATGGCTCACTGCTTTGCTCCGTGTCGCGCGCGCCGCGCGTGTCGCGTGCGCGTGCACTGTACAACGCGCCGCGTCGGGTTTCACACCGTGCCGTAACACATGTGAGTCAGAATCAAAACCCGGTGTTAAAATAGTCCACCCAGAACCATGCAAAGAACTAAGAAGGCGGCCGCAGCTATTTATGACTGGGATTGTCCCTTACTAACCTTCATTTACCCGGGTTTTGATTGTGGCTCATGTGGTGTGAGGTGGGGCTTTTGCATACCTACTACATCAAATTCGGTCGCCCACTCGCAGGATCAAGGGCCAAAAGACTCCTGTCCGTTTCAAAAAGCCAAGATGAGAAAGCTTCTTAATGGGCGCGCTCAGCCCTCATCAGCCAAGCCTACGCAGCACTTGGAAGGCTCTGGTCTGCTCTCTTAAAAGCAGTCTGACCACTGAGATTGTGGGCAACTGGGAGCAAGCGCTTCACGCGCAACTTGGAACTCTTCCCGATTTGGCCTAGAGATTGCACCACGCGCAATCGAAACAAAACCTGCCCAAGATAACCCAGGCGAGGGCCGCTGACTCCTTCTCACCGTGATTCACTCCACGGCTACATGAGGCTTGATCAGCGCATACCGCATTCTGCATGGAATGTCACACAGCCCACAGGGGCGAGACATGAAAGCAAAGCACAGCACAATGCAACGCCGTAATCCCAAGACTGTTCTGCAAAAGAGTTCGCTTACAATGAGGCGCGGTATGATGCAACAGCGTGCGCGTCGCGCCGATGCAGCAGTGTATTGTCTGATGATTCTGCAGCACGCTGTGGAAAACACAGAAGTGGCACGTCACTAAGATATAATCAACATCCGCTCCCAAAAGCGCCGCGCAATCGACGTTGGATTTCAGGTTTCACATGGCGCAATGGCGCGCAAAGCGCAACACTCGGGCTCCTGGGAGAGGGACTGGCCTCCCACACCTGGGATCTCTCAGCATCTCCCGGCTCTCAGCATCCCAATCTCTCCCAAAGCGGAGACGCCTGCACCTCCCGGTCCCGGCTCCGGAAAGATCTGGCCAGTCCCATCGAAATCCCCGTCGAACGGATCGAATCGATCGAATTGATCGAAAGGCCGCCTCGTCCGTCGAGTTGGAGCGCTTCAGCTGCCTTGCAACGAACGCAATGCCAACTGTTCAAATTGCCCCAAACCTGATCCGTTTGGGACTCGCCCCTACCCTTGACGATTTTGGCCATCACTAGTCGGGAAGATTCTATGTCTGGCCCGGAAACTTCTGAATCCCACCGTCTTGTCTTGCCAAGCAAGGGAACGAGGGTATTGCTGCGCAAGGGCAAGACCAACTAGCTGTTCCGATTGGCGTTCCTTGGCCTTTCCTTCCCCGGTCTTCCTCCAGTCTCGTTCTCACTGTCTCCAAAACAAGTGGTGCCTGGTGGTGGGTTAGCCTAATTCCACCTGGCGGCTGAATTGCGGCCTGGTGCTGAGTTAGCTCCTAGCGCCGCGGCGCCACATTGGGTTAGGTCCTAGCTTCTGGCGCCAAATAAGACGGCGCTAAAAATTGGCCTCCCACTAGGCCATCCCTGCTGGCACCACACTGCGCCTTTCTACGCCGCAAACGCCGCATTAGCTCTTGGCGCCGCGTCGCCACATAGGCGCTGAAGTGCCCCATTCCGCGGCGCTAAATTAGCTTCTGGCGCTGGCGCCGTGTTGCGGCTGGCGGCGCTGAATTATGGCCTGGCGCGGAATTAGCTCTTCTGAGGGTTGGTGACCGGCGCTTGGTGGCCAGCAGGTTCCAGCCGGGGGGAGGCCACGACAGGGGCGGCAGCAAACGCAGCAGGGGGTGCGCCGGTTGTCTTTACGTCGGTGTGTCGCTTGTTTTTCACCTGCGCGCCACTGTCTCGCGTACACGTGTCACCGGCGCGCCGCTGTCGAAAACACGGCACTTTGCCGAAAACAAGGTACTTTTGCCGTGTCCCTTGCATGTCACTTGCGCGCCGCTTGCATGTCACCACGTGTCCAACCCCCCATGCGGCCCTAAGACTCACAGGATCCACCGGTCCCCCTCAATTCCAGCCAGTCCAACATTGCCACTCTCCATCCTTCACCCATTCGTTTGGATTGGAAAGGGCCGCTTGCTATTGTTACTTTTTACATGCGGAAGCGCCTTCGAACAACGGCTGTTCTGCGTTCATCTACAGAATAATGGTCGTTGGATTGTTCTCGTTGTGGGTGACGGGCGCGATACTCATGTCGTCTTCTCAAGTCGTCTTCGCCTGACAACTCATCTTTCTGCAGAACAATCCAACTCAGGCACTTATTCGTCAATTCAGGCGCTAATTCGTCTTCGCCTGGAGACTTGTCTTCGTGCAATTCGTCTTCGCAATTCGTCTTCGCGGCGTAATTTGTCTTCGTGGAGACTTGTCTTCGTGCAGTTATTCGCTTGGTTATCCGTCTTCGCCTGGTAACTCGTCGTCGCGCAATTCGTCTTCGCAATTCGGCTTCGCTGGGTACTTCGACTTCGCCTGGCTGTGACTTTGCTGGGAAGTCGTCTTTGCAATGTATCTCTGAACTTCGGCTGGATTTTGGGCACCCCCAATGGCGAGTCCAAAGTTAATATCTCAATGGTTTTACAAGAGTGCCTCAAATCTTCCAAAGATTACGTTTTCGCAAATCGGTACCGCAAAAGTCCATGCTCATGCTCCGTATAGCCTAGCATGATTAGTGCTCCATGTTGTTCGGCGCGCGTCAGAAGAGATTCGCAATTAGCAACTTACACCGCACCAATGCGTTTTGGAGGTGTGAAGCGAGTCGGACGCGGAACTTCGACGACATGACTTTGGATTTGGGCGCCTTGACGTGGAAATTCGGGCGGGTGCATGTGAACTCGACCAAGCCTAATCAACCAAGACGTTCAAGCCGACCAAAGCACACGGGCAACGGACGGAAACGGGCGAAAACGGACGGGAATAGGGACGGGGTTGGGCAGGAATGGGTGGGAATAATTTGAATAGGCGCGACTGGACGGGAAAAGGCGGGAATGGACGAGACGTGAATTGACGGGAAGGTGGGAATGGACGGGCATGGACCGAACGGACGGACAAAGTCTGTAGGAGCCCCACTCGTCTCAAGGGGGAACCGTGGGGAAGCCCCTCAGAAAGAGAGATGGACAGGAATGAGTCAAAGAGAGAAAGAGAAATGCAAAGCTTGGAGTTGCTCGCGCCGCTCGTCGCACGATTTGTTCCTTCGCGTCGCCCGCATCCGATGCTGGCGTAGTGGGTGCGAGGACCGAAGCGCTTTGTGTCAAATTGCCAACCTGCAGGCTCAAGGTCAACTCACGGGGGTGGATTGTTCACCCCATGCACACTAGGTTGTCTCACATGCACAAATCGCAAAGCCGACTCTCAGCGCGCCACAAGTCGTCTCCAGAGGCCTTGCGCTTCTTGAAAGCTTGCCTGCCCGTCAGCCCGTCAGCCCGTCTGCCCATCGACTCCTTAAGTCGAATTCGCATCGATTGTCGGTCCTCCAGGCCAGCTCCAGGCCCTTCGCTTTGTTCTTCACTTCAGGGTCGGCGGCCGCTTTGGCCAGGCCGTGCAGGCTCTTCCCTCCGACCGACGACCGGCCAAGGCCTGTGACTTCCGTGACTTCAGTTGAGGTTTTGGCCCACCAAGGTCTCGCTGAGGATTCGTGTTGGCAGGTCTCAAGCACACGTCAGAGGTCACACATGGTCACACGCAACTTGAGTTGTCAGGCGTGCATGCTTGAGGTATGGGTGTCGAATGTCAAGCTGATTCAGCATCGGTTTAGGGTGAGCTCGAGGCATATTGGTGCATGTGGGAGTGGTTGAGATGGTTGGCTTTGAGTTGAGTTGCGGTCGACTAGGTTGGTGATGAAGATCTTGGTGCAGAGGTGTCAGTTGTTCCACATCTATTCAGCCTTGCGGCTTCAGCTACAATAGCGGTGCAGTCTTACAGCTGTTTGCTTGGCGGTCTCTCCGAAGATCAGCTTGGGCTTGACTTGGGGGCGCGGGCATCGTGCTGGCTCTACTTTTGGCAAGGAGTAAGCAGAGGTGCATTTAGGGTTAGATTCACATCTGTCTGGCCTGATTGTGACTTCGGATGGCAAGGTTGCTGGCTGGATTGCTCGCTCTAGGTTGGGCGGCTCTGGCTCGGGATGGGACGTCTGAGCGCAGAACTTCCCAGCGCTTGCAGTTGGTCCAAAGCCTTCAGAACCTCCCAGCAAAAACTTTGACATCGGCCGCTCACTCTGAGCCTCTCCTCCTCTTTGCTTCCCAAGCTGTTGTCCAAAACAGCCTCAGAGACGTGCACGTAAGTCGCAAAGAGTCGCACCAGAGTCACGTCCAACATCCGACATCCGATTTTCGATGCCTTGAGGCGCTTCACAGACTCCGTGAGAGTCTCATCCTATGGAATAGCAAATTCGCCGCTGAATCTATCGCGAGTCACACAACTTCTCTCTCTCTCTCTCTCTCTCTCTCTCTCTCTCTCTCTCTCTCTCTCTCTCTCGCTCTCGTTAAAATTGGTTGTTACTTTGCTTACAAGTGCAAGTGCTGTAGTGTTCAAACAAACAGTCAACCAATGTAGTCTGCAGCTGCCAACCTTTTGACTCACATGCAACACGAGTGCAAAGTGAAGCATGTAGTTTGACACGGCCCCTCAGTTAAAAGGTCTTTGTAATACCTTTTCAACTGAAGTGCAAAACATGGATTGGCAGTAGTGATGAAAACCATTGTTGTTCATCAATTCTACTGTATTGGCAAAAGTAGTGACCTGCGCTCAGTAGTTCACGCTGTTCAGGTTCCAGCTCGATGTAGTGCGCTGGACGGAAGTAGTGAAGGCAGGCACTCGTTGTAGTAGATCAGGAGCTCAAAAATGTAGTACCCAGTTCTAGGTGCGGTAGTCTTGGACCTTCTGTAGTCGACTGTCCAAGGTCGCGTAGTAGTTGGTGGTGAAAAAGTTTGTCATGTAGTTTGGAGCTCCCCGTAGTCGCTCATCGTCAATCTCGGGACACGACATGTGTTGTTCGTAGTCCCGTAGAAAGCGGTGTAGTAGTGCTTTGTGGTGTTGTGTGAGGTTGGTCATTGTGAGTAGTGTGAATCCGTAGTATTGGATGCTTTTGCAGAGGATTGTAGTGATTGCTTTGTGTTGGTAGTCGTGGAGTTGGTCTCTGTCGTAGAGGTAGTGGAGTAGTTCAGGTAGTAGTAGTGGCATGTGGAAATTCCAAACGTAGTTGTTCCTGAGGCTGTAGTTGTCAGTGAAGGTGGCCATGTTGTAGTTCACCTTGAAGATGGTCTGTGGCAGTGTTGTAGTCGGGAGGTAGTAGTTGTGTTGCACCGACATCATGTAGGAGATGTAGTCCCTTGTGAAGTGTAGAAATTGTCCTGAAGTGAGGTACCTCAGGAGTAGTGGTTGTTCAATCTGGAGTTGGATGATGACGTAGTTGGTGTTGTCGCCAGTTGTAGTGTGGAGTGAAGTCGTGTGGTAGTAGTGGACATTGGCTGCTTCAGGTAGTGAAATGCTGAGCAGTGTGGAATTGTAGTGTGGCATCCGAAGATCTCCAGGGATGCAGTGAATGGGTCGTGTGTAGTCCAGTTGTGCCAGTGGAGTAGCTTGTTGTTGTGAGAGTAGTTGATACTCTTCAAGTGTAAATGCAGTGAAAAATTGCGTGTAGGGAATGTTGTTGGGCAGTGGTGGTGCAGTGGTTGTCTGGTGCTCAGTGATGTGTAGTTGGTCCATCACTGTGGTCGGGTTGTAGTAGACGGTGTTGCCAGGTGTAGAATGGTTGAAGTGGTAGTTGAAGTCGTTGTAGGTTTGAGGTGGTGGAGTTCCATGGTCACTGGAGTCTGTAGTGACCGCCACCTCTGGTGTAGACGCCCTGTCGGGTGTAGGCGCATCGCCCATCGTAGCATCTGCAGTAGATGGAGCGGCCATGGCTGCAGTGGAATGCAAAATGTAGTGAAACGGGGCAAAACAAATGAGCCTAAGTAGTTGCTACCAGGCAGTCGGCGAATGCAGACATGTAAAACAAACAACTGTAGTGTTGACTCAAGCCGCCAAAAGTGCAAGTGAAAGTACATGTAGTTACTGTTACTTACATACCAAAAGTGTCGTGTTGCATGTAGCTACTTACATACATGAAATGTCCAAAGTCGTTGTTGTTGTTGTGAAACTGCTGCGCTGGTCGTTCGTAGTGCTAGATGCGTATTCCAATGCTCTGGATGAGCCTGTGTAGTGTTTCTTTGCTGATGTATTTGGTAAACAAATCTGCGCTGTTGTGGAGTGTGTTGATCTTAAGGATTCTGATGATGTCGTGCTTGATGAGGTCTTGTGTGTAGAGGAATTTGAGGTCGATGTGTTTTGCTCGTTTGCTAGCGCCTTGTCGTGTAGCAACGCTCTTGCCTGCTGTGGAGTCTGTGTGGATGCGTAGGTTTAGCTTGCTGCAAATGTTGGTTTCAAGTAGGAAGTTTCTGAGGTGTAGTCCCTCATTAACTCCTGTGCAAATGGCGTAGAGTTCAGACTCTGCTGAGCTAAGTGCTATTGTAGCTTGTGTTCTGCTGCCAAATGCAACTGTTGTTCCTAGAAAGATGATGTTGAAACCTGAAGTTGATTTCCTGGTAGTAGGGCATCCTGCCCAGTCGGCATCGACATGAACGTCGAGATCCAGGATGTTGTTGGTGTTTGCTCTGAGTGTTGTTGTTGGTTCTATGGTGAATTTGTAGTGCTTGGTGCCGTGCAAGTAGCGTAGTAGATGTTTGACTCTCTTTTGTGAAAGTTCTGTAGGTGCTGTGAGGTCTCGTGCTAGTTCTTTTGTGGAGTATGCAATGTCTGGTCGTGTGTATGCTAACCATTGAAGTTTGCCAACAATTCTTCTGTACCTTTTGTGTTGTTCGTGGTCAAGTAGCGCTTCATCTTCTATTGTTGGTTTGTAGTGTGCAATTCCTGGAGTGTTTACTGAGTTGCAGTTGTTCATTCCAGACTCCTCGATCATGTTGTCGATGTAGGAGTCCTTTAGTCCAAGATTGCAGTAGTTGCCGAAGTGGTCGATGTTTCTTCCAAGAAATTGTTGTGGTTTGCCAGGTTCGAGGTAGCCGATGTGCTTGAGTAGCACCTGCTTCTGGACGGCCTCGAAAGTGGAGTCGACTGCGGTCTTGTCTCCAAGTACTAGTAGATCGTCCACGTAGACCATGATGTAGCAGTCGCGAGTCGCATTGGTGTAGACGTTGGGTTCTGACTTTAGTCTTACAAAGCTGAGCTTTTGTAGAACTTCAGCCAGGTAGTCCTGCCATGCTTTCGGTGAACTGCGTAGTCCATACATGGCTTTCTTTAGTCGCCAGATTTTGTCCTGTTGTGGACAAAGTTCTTTAGGTGGCCAAAGGTAGACGTCACGTTGTTTACCGTCGTGGTCTTTTGCGATGGGTGCGTGTAGAAATGCTGTAGAGACGTCACCTAGTCGCGCGATCCAGTTTGGTCGTGACATTTGTAGTGCGAGAAGTGTCCGGAGTGTCGTGAACATTGGTGTAGAGGCGTAGACGGAGTCTTCGTCCTCGATCTTCTCGGTGTAGCCTTTTGCGACGATTCGGCTTCGTACTCCTGGTCCTTTCTTTCTGTGTACCCATCTTGTAGGTATCGCTTCTCTGATGACGTTGTCGTCGACGGTAGACGCATCTACTTCGTCGTAGACGTCGTGTAGTTTCATTTGGTTTGACTCGTGTTTCATTCCTTCCAGTAGTTGTGTTTCGTCGTAACCTTCGTTGTCGAAGATTATGGGTTGGTCTTCTGAGGTGTCGTCGTTTGTGTAGGGAGTGATGGATTTTCCGTTGGGAAGTGTCACTGCGTTAATTTTCTGTCGTAGTGGTGGTGGTTCTTTGGTTGCTTGTTCCGTTGATCTGATTGTAGTGTCCTTTGAGGTCTTCTGTGCTTTAGTTGGTTGCATTACTTCTTCCGGAGTTAAACGTCGTAGTGTTTGTCGAGGTGGTGCTGGTAGTGGTGGATGTTGTCGTCCAGTTGGTGAAGTAGCCATAGGACTATCCGGTAGTGGTCGTGAACTTGACGTCGATGTGGACGGAAGTCGTGGAGGTGGTGTAGTGCGTTGTTGTTTTGTTGCGGGTTCTGCAACGATGTCGTCCGTCGCATTCGTTTGTTGTCCGAAGTCTTGCGTGGACCTTCTTTTCTCTGACGGTTGTAGTTGTGTATCCAACAGTGTTGCGAACAATGGGTTGTAGGTGTTCTGTCGTGGTGCCCATGGTGTGCCGGAGACTTTGTTCAACAGTGCGAGGTCGTATTTGAAGTCTGGTTGTAGTCTCCGTACTGTTCGTACCTTTTGTACGCCTGATTCCGTTGCGACGTAGTTTTCTCCGGTTTCGGAAACTTTTCCGAGCCAGATGCATTTCTGCATCCGTAGGTCTGCTTTCGGAAGTTTCTTGTGTTGTGGTGGAAGGTAGAGTAGTGTCTCGCCAAATTCGCAGATTGCTCGCTCGTAGTTTCTTCCCCAGCGGCGTTCAAAGCTTGTGTAGCCGTCTGAGTGGATGACGTAGCGATTTACCGTCCATGCTGCATGTCGTACTATCCAAGGTAGTAGACAGTGCTTTGTGGACATCGTCATGCTGTAGTTGCTTTCAACTTGAGCTTTGACGACGCGGATTTGTCCGAGAAGTGTTCTATGTAGTCGCTCAACGCTTCCTTGTCTGTTGCTGCTGTAGGAAGGTGAATGTCGTACACTCATTGTGCCGACTTTTGCTGCTGTAGCATTTAGAAGTGCGTTGAGTGTGTCTTCGTTGTCGCTTTGTAGTATGCCTTGTGTTCTTCCGCACTCAAAGATGAATGCTTGTAGGTTGTTGGCCATGTAGTCCATCATTGATGCTTTGTCTGGAACCAATGCTGCCATACACAGTTGTGTAGTAACATCAACTGCTGTCAGTACCGGTGTGGTCTTTGGGTCTTGTTGTGACTTGGTGTAGGCAAAGTCTACTTGAATGACAGGTTGTCGTGATTGTTGTTTCTTGTAGTTGTCTTGGCGTCCTTTGCCTTGAACGCAAATTGGACACCAGTTTCTGTATGGTAGATGTGTAAGGTTGTGTTCTGCTATTTGTTGTGGAGTGGGCTGCTGTGGTTGTCGTAGTCCTCTTGCTCTGTGTGCTTCATGATGCTCGTGTTGTTGTTCTTCATCGTGGTTCTCCTGGATGTACTCGTAGTCTTTCTTCACGGTGAACCTTGTTGTTCCTTTCCATTGAAATGGTAGTGCTGCGTTGCCCATGACTGTCCAGTCATCTTTGCGTTGTGAAACTTCTCCAAAGTTGTTGTGAGTGATTGTAGTTCTGTGAGGTTCAAGTGTGTTGATTGGTGGATGTCCTGGTCCATCTGTTGGAGTGAAGAGAGTTGTTCTAAGCGTTGTGTGGTGTCGTATCCAATGTTCACCTTGTCTTTCCCAGTAGTCTTGGTTGTCCTCCTGTGCTGTGAGTGGTCTGTGTATTGTCTCCTTTGGTTGTGTGGTGTCAAGATTTGTTGAAGGTGCTGCTTTGGGTCTCCATATCTTTCGTGGTGCTCGTAGTTGGATCTTTGATCTGGTTGGTGGTGTGTCCATTAGCCGTTGTGGTTGTGAGCTCTGCCTTGTTGGTGTGGTCTTTGATGTTGCTCTGGGTGTAGGTGTTATCTTTCTTCTGAATCGGGTTTCTCCAGTCCAATTGTCACCTTCTAGTCTTCGTTGTAGTTCTTGCTTGGAAAGTTGTGTTGGGTTCTCTTGTAGTTGTTCTTGCTCTTGCCCTTGTCTGTTGATGATGGTTAGTCTCCAATCATCAAGTTCTCCTTCTGGTGTTGGGCAGCCACTGTTGTGTGGTGTGAACAGTGCTTTGCGTGGTCGTTTGTGTACTGTGATGGCGTAGTCACCATCAAGTTTCCAGTAGTCAGTGTTTCCACCAAGGATCTGTCGTAGTCCTTGGTCTGTGTGTGTGAGTGGTGCGATTTGTTCTTGTTGTTGTACTGCTTTCTCTGTAGGTTGACTCACAGCAATGGAATTTCCATTGTCTGTAGTCATTGGGTAGATGTCGAATCCTGTAGGAATGTCGATCTTCTCTGCTCGTAGGTAGAAAAGTCCTGAGTGTCTTATGAGGTGTGCTTGTTGTTGTCCATGTGTGATGGTGCAGTGTCGTGGAGTGAAGTCAAGTCCATATCCTCTATCAAGTAGTCTTGATGCACTGAGGATTGGGTACTTCACATCACAAACGTAGTAGGGTATCATGATCCTGAAGTTGTCCTGCTTGTAGGGAACGTACTTGATGCCGTAGACTGGAACCTTCTTGTTGGTCACCGTGTAGAGTTGTGGAACTGATTCTCCACAAGGTCGTAGTGGAAGATCCGGTGCGTAGTCCTTTGGGCAAACATGTGTAGATGCTCCTGAGTCGATCAACAGGTGGTGGTATGACTTGAAGTTGGAGTACATGATGTAGTGGGTGATAGTGTCCTCAATCTTCTTGTTCCTTTGTTGTTGTCTTGCTGCTGCTATGTCGAAGTGTAGCTTGGTGGTGTCTTCTTGTAGGAATTGTTGAAAGCTCTTGCTGTGGTCGTTCCATGATGTTGTGTGTGTTGTTCTCTTGCCGAGTAGTGATTTGGATTTGTGCTTGTGTAGTCGTGATTTTGCTTGTCTGATGTGTCCAATGGTGAGGTGTGACTCGTTGATGCCTCCAATGTAGTTCGCTGTGTCCTCATAGCTGTTGTCATTCCAACCCCAGCTGTTGTCATAGTCGTAGTCGTTCCAGTTCTCCTCCATGTAGTTCACCTCATGTTGTCCTTCTTCTCCTTCGTAGTACCAGTCCCAAGTGTCGTTCACATCCTGAGGTAGTTCATCATTGTTGTCGTGATCTGCTTGTTCTTGTTCTAGTGGATGTAGTTCTTCTCCTTCTCCTATGTGCCATACCGGCACTCTGCAGTCTTGTGCCCAGTGGCCGGGCTTGCCACATCGATGGCATGTTGTGTAGTTGTTGCTTCCTTTTCCTTTTGATTTGCTGTAGTTTCCTTGGCCTTTGTAGCCTTTGCTTGATCCATATCCTTTGGATCCTGAGTAGCCTTTTCCTTTGCTCTTGTTGTATCCTCCTTTGTTGTAGTTTCCTTTGTTGCCTTTGTCGAGTCCTTTGTAGTGTCCTTTACTCCTGTACTTGCCTTTGCTCTTGCTTCCTTTGTAGCCGCCTTTTCCTTTTCCTTTGCCTTTGTAGCTTCTTCCTTTCCTCCAGATGTTGTCAACATCCATTGGTGCAGTTCCTCCATTGTAGTTTGTTCCTACTGCTGAAGTAACTCTAGTGAAGGCTGAAATCGTTTTGTAGTAGTCCAGGATGAGTGCTCTGATCTCGATGTAGTTCGTGATCTGTCCAGCTCGCAGTTGGAGGTGTTGCTGCAGTGCTCCTTTGGTTTTGTTGAGTAGTATTGTTATTTTGATTCCATCTGGTAGCGCTGTTCCATTGTCTTTCTCGTAGCGGTTGATGTCGTATTCCCATTGTAGAAATTGTTCTTCAAACTGCGCTTCGTTGAATGTGGGTTCCAGTAGTTTGGTAAGGTAACCGACGCTCCTTGTTCCTACTGGTAGGCTGAACCTGTTGTGCAGTAGTCGTAGGGTTTCACATCCGTTTGCGTTGTAGCGGTTTTGCCTTACTACTGTAGCTGCTGCTCCCTGACAGATGTTGATGAGGATGTAGTGTAGATCTCTGGAGAGGTCTACTGCTTTGCTTGCTTGCGTGGGGTCGAGTATGTGTGTTCTGATGTCTGTGTCCTCGATCTGTCGTGTAGCCACTTGTGCTAGTTGTAGCACCAGGTCGAAGTCTCGGTCTATGAGGCCGAGGTATGCTTGTAGCTTGAACAGCCATTCTTCATACTGGGAGTAGTCACCAGTGAAGAAGGGTGGTGGCAGTTTGTATCTATGTAGTCTCTGAACGTCGTTGTCTTGTTCTGTTCCTGCTCCCGTAGTCGTGGCTCCTACTGTGTCTGCTGTTGGCCCGTTCTCTGCTCCTGTAGTTTGTTGCGCTGAGGCTGATGCTGCTTCTCCTGACATGTCGTAGTAGTTTGGCATGTAGCTGCTGTTGCTCTGCTGTTGTAGTACTTACTGCTTACTGGAGCTCCCCTATGTTTAGGATCTCAGCTCCGCTACCACGTTAAAATTGGTCGTTACTTTGCTTACAAGTGCAAGTGCTGTAGTGTTCAAACAAACAGTCAACCAATGTAGTCTGCAGCTGCCAACCTTTTGACTCATGCGGAGTAGTAAGCTCAAGGCCTGCGGTAGTGAACATACATGCAACAAGAGTGCAAAGTGAAGCATGTAGTTTGACAGCTCTCAAGGACTTCTCCAGTAGCACTGCAACACAACAGAATCACTTCTCAAGGACTTCTCCAAGGCTTCTCCGTGGCTTCTCCGGCACTGCTCTCTTTCTCTCTTTCTCTCGAGCAAAATTTTAAGAAAGGTCCTGCGCATCGTGGCCTCAGAGAGCCAGAGACCGACCCGGTCACGGTAGCTGAGATGCGGACATTCCATAGCTCTGTGCTACATCAACTTACGCGGAAGCCATAACCGTCATGACTCTGAGATCGGAAACAAAATTGAAGAAACTGCCAAGCTGAAATTCGCGCTGAAAGTGTTACGCTGAGACGGCTTCGTGGCGCGGCACTCACTTCACTCTCCAAAACGCCTGAACTCCTGAACTCGCACCCGAGAAGCCGTTGCGATGGCTCGATGTTCACGCTCGGTAAAGCGCGCTCGCTCGGTCAAGTTCTCAAAGCGCCTTCCAATTCAATCGGAAGCGCTCGCTAAAAGCTATGCACGTGCACAGCGACATGTGCACATGCCCTAAGATCTAGCAGTTGCTAGCACCTGCAAATCCAGCCCAAGTACGGGTCAAAAAGGCCTCTCGAAGGCTAGCGACATCTTGAAACGCCCTGTCCGGGCCATTGCCTTCAGTGAAACGGGAGCACGGGCAAAGGCTGGCAACTCAGCCACAGCAAATGCTCCTCACGGAAGACTCAGAAACGAGTTAACATGTTTGATGCGGGTCCTGATGGGCCGTGAGTGACCTTGAAGAGTTCGAAGGCACTCGCCCGTGCGAAGATCCTGAAGTCGGGACGGGTCCGAATGTCCGAAGGGTCGCGTCGAAGGGGCGTCGCATCTTCAACGCAACGCAGTCGCGCTGGACGCGCTCGACCCACGCGATTCGGTCCCAGAGCTTGAGGCAGCCGTCGAAGGCCCCGGACACCGCCCGCTCCTTCGCCTCAAGCGACGCGCGAGTCGCCAGAGCGAGTGACTCGAGTTCCCTCGATCCCGTGGATCCCGGCCCAGTCTGCATGCACTGCCCAAACAAAGCCAACGTGGCGAGCAAACCTCGCAAAGCTGAAAGAACAAATGGCAAAAGATGAAACTGTGCATTCTCCGCCTGGCCAAGCACTCGGAAGAGTCTAGCCGCCAAAGTGACAGACTTCCATCATCTGAGCCCACCAGGGCTCGGCTGCTACTCCAATGCCTCGCGTGTCGGAAGAGACAGACAGAGAGAGAGAGAGAGAGAGAGAGAGAGAGAGACAGACAGAGACAGAGAGAGAGAGAGACGGCCGATGAAAATCCGAGTCGGACGCGAATCCGCTCCAAAATCACGATTGCTCGGTGACTCTAGACACAATGTGTCTCTAAGAGCCTACAGCCATGCCACATGCCATACCTTGGATGCGGGCACGACAATACTTCGTAATGCACTGTAGTGAGCCAGGAAGACCTGGCAAGCGATCAGCGCGCATGCCGCAAGCTCCCGGAGCAGGCCTTTGGGCCGGTTGGGCCGGGGCCGGACCTAAGCGAGGCGTTCGATCGAAACCGTAAGCTCGGTTTTCGAGTTTCCGGCTCACCGATTCCCGCTTCACCTGTGCAAGCGAGTCGCGAGTCTCCGAAACGGCAAAAACACGATGTGACAAGGCTTTCCAAGGCTTTCCTTGGGGGAGTTGCCCAGAGAACATGACTGAACAAACCAAGGACCAGAAACAGTGGAGTCAAGGTGCACGTCAGCTTGTATCTTTCAAGTGCATCCTTCAAAGTTCGGTGTGGCTCACGGTGTGTTTTCCGGCCTCCGAAGTGCCAATAAGCCAAATGCCCATCCTCAGGCGAGACTTTGGGCTTTCGACGGGACGTCGGACTTCAGTTTCAGTCCTCAAAGCCGGTGACAGCTCTCCCGACGTGGACGGCCATGCCACTGACCGTGCCCTCACGCGAGCCCCGTAGTTGCGTCCCCGAGCGTCCCCGAGCGTCCCCGAGCCCCTCTTCCGAGTTCACCTTGGAAGGACCCTCAAAGTCAGAGATCACCTGCGTCCATCAGCCGTCTCTCGACTCACTCACGTCGGCCAGGCCTCTGCAGATTCCAGATCCCACAGCCGGACGGCCCCAGTCCGCAAGCCGCCGCAAGCCCTCGTGCGAATGTCTGAAACGATTCAATGGCCATCTGACCCGGCCTCTTCTTGGGCCAATCTACCGACAGGCAGTCCACCTCGGTCTTAAATCAGCTCACTCGCTCATAAACTGACAAACCGACAGTGACACTCTGGGCAGCCGGCGCTGCTGCTGGCGTGAAGTACCCCAAGGCAGCGGAAGGTCTCAGAGGGAAATTGGGAAACTGGCAACGCAAAACGCAAAACGCGGTTGCAATTAAGAACGTCTGTTAGGCAGCCGAAGCCGCGAACCTTGAGGCACCAATGCTTCACCACCCCATCGGAGCATCCAGAGAGTGCCTTCGAATCTTGAACTGAACTCGGTCTGCACGCGGAAGCAACGCGCAAAGCCTGCTCGGAGGCCCAGTCGACTTCCAGGCAGCACGCCTGCGAAGGGAGCGGCGGAACTGTGCTTCGGGCTTGCGATCCGAGTTGCCAATGCCTCTTCACTATGAGCCACGATGCTTTTGACGCACGTGCCGCCTGCAGCAAAAATCCCGTGGCTCTGGCCGTCTGAGCCGTCTGAGCCATCTGAGCCAGCAGCCGATATTCCAGAGCTGCATGCGACCGTCGAAGGTCGTGCAAAGAAGACCTGAAGCTCGGCATCGGCACGGCCCTACCTGCAAACTGTGGCTCAGCGAGCTGCGCATCGTCTCCCAGTCGGCGGACATGGCCTCAGCAAGCGGAATCGCGCCCTGGAACCCTCAAGGGCCTGAGGGCTGGGCCAGCACTGCAGAGGGAACCTCCGGAGTCAACTCCCTCACCTTGCGAAAGCTCCAAAACGCTCCAAGACGCCCTCTCAAATAATCAAGAAAGAGAAAAGATTCCAAGAAAAGGCCCTCTCGCTCCACTTCCTTCACTTGCCTTCTCGGCATCCGCTGGATTCCACAGCCGCATGCCTACTATCATGAATCGGGCGACGGCAAGACTGATTGCGAAAGAAGCTTTCCCCCTCCAAACAAGCCGCAGCTTTCCCGGGCTAAGGACTCGGTATGCCCCTTTGGCGCACCGCCGGCTACCGTCCCCGCCTTCGCTCGCACCGGAAATGACGTGCCGCAACTTCGGGCCCTTGGATGGCAAGCAAAAACAAGCCGCAGCCGTATCCTCGTGTCGTTAATTGGGCCTGGGGATTTCCCGGGATTTGCCACGTGTGGTAAGTTTCCAGTCCAGCCGGCAAACACCGAAACCAAAATTGGGCAAAATGAAGCCCTTCTTGTCTTCCGAGAGAGAGATGTAAACATGGTGGTTGTACTTCTGGCACTTGGTGACTTTTGACAAGCTTCTTTGCCATCACGCTCGGCCGCAAATGGAAGGCCCTTCCCGCCCTCCTCATTTCTAGCCGCGAGAGCCATTTTGCCGCATTGGAGGCTCGGTTGGGTCCATTTTGCTTCTGACTTATGGACTTGCCTACTGCCACCCACTGCTTGCAAGGTACCTCAAAGACTTGCTTCAATGGGTGCGGGTTTATTTTGGGATTTGTTTTCGTTCTTTTTTTACGTTTTACGTTTTGCCTGTAAAATGTCGTATTTTACAGCATGTTCTCGCGAAATTGACGTATTTTAGGCTAGCCCGTCAACATCCCCAGCTTTGTTTTCAACATCCCCCCACAAGTCCCACCAACATCCCCAGCATCACCAACAAATCGTGGGTAAACACATCCAAAAAGTAGCGTGCGGGGTTGAAAAAATGATGATTCAAATAGGGGTGCAATTAAATCTCTGCAAACAAATCTAAAAAGAGGGTTGGGGGGGCGGCAGCGTTCCATGATGTTCAAAGAAGTGGTGTCGCACCCTTTCTTGAATCATCGTTTTTCCGGAGATAAACTGGTGATATTGAGGATTTACCGCCAATGCCAAAAGCCAATGAAGGGGCGCAAAGTAGGTCACAAGCACACAGGAAAGTCCTACGGCTGCAAAAGAAAGGCCCAAAACAACCAATCCCCAGTCCCAAAGATCAGGGTTTCCCACACACAAGTGACCAAACAACCACAATCCAAACCAAACCCAAAAAGCAGGATTTACCCGCGACCTGGGTCAACGATGAACCGCACTGGCACTCCCCGCCAACCTGCCCCGGGCCGAAGTCTCTTTCTCCCCGGACACGGTGATCGACGTGGGGACCCGGCGACGCTCCGAGGTTGCGACGGATCCGAACTTGACGCGAGGTACCCGATGTTTCAACACATGGCCAATCACACCGCATAAGCCAACAAGAAGCCGAAGAGCCAAGAAGCCGAGAAGCCGAGAAGCCAAAAATCCACGAAGCCAACAAGCCAAAAGCCAGAAGTAAAACCTTCAAAACAAATTATCCCTTCTCAAAGATTTGGTTGCACGGCGTCGCCAAACACAGGCCATACACCCACGTCCCCGTCTGGCCGGACGGGGGCTTATCCACAGTATGGGTATCAAGGGACTGCGTGGCGACATATATATATGGGGATAAGGGGAAAGCAGCAAAAAGGGCGCATTTCCAAAGACATGTGAAAGCTTCAGGCAAAACTTTTTGCAGGGAATGTTGAATCTAGATTAAATCTACCTCTGTCCTATTTCTAAGCTCAGGTTTTGTCAGAAAATGCAAAACAGCAGCTATGTTGGAGCCATTGGCCCAAAAGTAAAAAAAAAACAAAAAGAATGACCCGAAAGTAAACAAGTAAAAACCTGGAGCCAATGACCCAAAGTAAAAGTAGAAAAGTAAAGTCCTAGAGCCAATGACCCCAAAGTAAAAAGTAAAAAGGAAAAGAACATGTTTGTTGGAAAAACAGTGAAATGGTTCAGTCCATGGTCAAAGCATTTTTCTTCAGGACCATGGGCTGAATTGTGTTACTTGTTTGCTTCTGTATTTTTATTACTTTTTGCTGTTTTACTTTCTTACTTCTTCGCTTTTACTTCTTTACTTCTTTACTTCTTTACTTCTTTACTTCTTTACTTCTTTACTTCTTTACTTCTTTACTTCTTTACTTCTTTACTTCTTTACTCCTTTACTTCTTTACTTCTTTACTTCTTTACTTCTTTACTTCTTTACTTCTTTGCTAATTTACTTATTTGAGGGTTTCCGTAAAACACTGAGAAAAAAAGCGGCGATCCCTCCGCTTCCGCGCCGCTTCCGCGGCGCAAAGCGTACCTTCTGCAGCATCCATAGCTGCGAATGCTCTTCATCTGCTCTGGTCAGCTGTGAAATTGCGATTGGTTATTCAGCAGAGGCATCTCCTTGGAAGATCTCGAGAACATTCCGGGAAAGGCTCTTGGTTCCAGTTTGCGGGCTATGCCAGCGATATGGGCATCGCTTGGGCATCGTTCGGGGCATCGTTCAAACCAAACCGTTCTCTTGTCCAGGCATGGTCAGTTTGATTTGTACGGCAGGCCATCAAACATAGATGTAGTACGCGAGGTGCACTTCCGAGATCCAGCTTGAGAATCGTAACTTTTCGGTACAAGCGTGTAACATGTTTAAAGGCAAGCTAATAGATTGAAAGAACATAACAGGTCGCAGCTTCCGCGCCGCTTCCGCGGAGCTTCCGCGGCCTGCGTTTCACTGAGTTACCAACATAACCACCACCACTAGCCACTAAAAAACGAATACAGCTATTTACGGAAAGCCTCATTTACTTATTTACTTACTTATGTACTTTGGTACTTTACTTACTTAGTTGTTCCTTCTTATTTTTTTGGTACTTGCCTACTTTTTTAGTTTTGGGTCTCTGGCTCCAAAAACTTGCCTCTTTTGACTTTTGGGTGGTTGGCTCCAGAAATTTACGCTTTGCTGTTGGGCTATTAAAAGCTCCATAATTCTACTTGGCTCCAACTTAGCTGCTGTTTTGCATCTTCCGACCAAAGCTCAGCTTAGAATGGACAGGTTTAGGGTGTAGGGTTTTTGGTTTATTGACTCGCTTTTGTAGGAATCGGACTTATTTGGGGTAGATGTTTGCTCAAGAATGCTTGTTGTTCAAACAAATTCACTGTATTTTGTTGTACTCTGTTTGGAATTCAAGGTATTCCGTAAGGATTGAAACATCAAAAATTCAATTAGAATTCTTGTCGCAAAATAGATTTGGAAGGCGGATCTAGGACTGTGGCTGTTCAATTTTCTAATTAGAAGTGAATTGGAGTTTAATAAGGAACAAACCCCAATAAGAGTGTCTAGTTATAGTTTAAAGATACAAGTAGAGGGTGGCTTTTGTCACCCTGAGATGCCGGGAGGGAAGCAAGGGTTAGGCCGCAGCGTGCTGCAGGTTGCTCCTCTCGCTCTCTCTCTCTCTCTCTCTCTCTCTCTCTCTCTGTCTGTCGCTCTTTCTAGTTTGAAGACACGTTAAACAGGATTCCCTTTGCAGCAAAAAACGTAATAAGTTATTCCAAATTAGATTTTGAAGAGGATTTCCCTGCATAGGGTGAGTTGATGCTGGTCAAGTCGTATGGGGCATTCCAAATAAAACCACTGCATTCCATCTGCGAAATAGGCTTCAAACAGAAGAAAGGTAGATCCATCGGGTAGCATACATATATATATATATACCAGGAGCCTCAAAAACCGATGAAAATGTCATACCTACAAAAAACACGATGTTTTTTTGGGAAAACACGATGTTTTCGGGAAACACCGCATTTTCGATTTCAAGCAGTTTCCCATACATTCCTTCAACTCGTCATCCGTTCTCAAAAGATCTCAAAAGCATCATCTCAACCTCAGAATCTCCCATCGCCCTCCCCTTTTGCACTCGCAACGAAATCAGCTTCGCATTCGCCACTCGTCTTTCGCAACTCCAACCTGAAAGAAGGAGGCCGGGGACCCAAATAGTCAAAAGTACCACGGTTTTATGACACTTGTCAAGCAGCAGTGCCATGATGAGGGCGTGCTGGCTTCGAACAGCGCGCAAGCTCAAGCAAAGACCGTGCTTTTGCTCACGACTTCGTTGTTTTCCAGCAACATTCTCGAATTAGCGCATTCGTGGTTGGACCCGAAAAACCCATAGAATTTCCACGCATTGCCACGCTTTACTACGGGTTCTCCACGGTTTAGCTACGGGTTAGAAAACATGATGTTTTCCAAAAACACGATGTTTTCGGTTGGGGCTGCGGGCTTTCTACGGGTTTCTACGGGTTGGGTTGTCTATGGGTTTCTACGGGTTTTCTGCGGGTTTCTGCGGTTAGCCGCCAGGATCCCGCCCCATTTGCTAAAAAAAACTCAAAATTGATAAAAACAATCTCAAAAGTGTCACCTGGTCTTGTTTTGCACCAAAAGGAGCTTTCGGATTCCAGCACCCCCTTCAAACTGGTTCGGTATGACCTGGCGCCAGTCTTCAGGTGCCTGTTGCTGTGAAAGGTACTTCAAGACTGAAGCCAGCTGCACACCCTGGCTGTCAGGCTCATCAATGTGGTCCTTAGAATTTGAAGCATACTCAGTATAGAGCGTTGCCCTCAGTTGAAATCTTAATGGGTGATGTCTGTGTGAATCCACTCCCGACCCTTGCCTTTGACCCTTTGCTCCAAATGAGTGTTTGGCCTCAGAAGCCCATTTTTAAGGGGTTTTGTCAAAAACACGAGGTTTTTCGTGAAAACACGATGTTTTCAGAAAATCGAGAAAAAACACGATGTTTTTGTCAGGGTACGACATTTTTACAGGTTCTTGAAGCCCTAGGTACACATATCAATGGCAACAACAATTGCGCAATTGTCCATCGCCATGTGGGCCCCTGTTTGGGATTCATTTTCACGCTTGTTGCATAACATGAGATGCGAAAGATGTGAGGCATTTGGGCCGCTCGGACATCTTAAGCGCAGGACGCATTGTCTCACAAGCGCAGGCGAAACCAGAAACCTCCAGCCTCCAGCACTGCGTAATTACGCAAAACAATCAAGAATATGGCGCGTGACGTACGCGGCATGCAATCGAATGAGCGGACATAGGCAAACGAACGTATGGTCAGCGGATGAATCCAGCTCTAAACATCGGAGACATTGACACGACGCATTTCCACTGTGAACACAAAGAGAAGCCCGTGACTATCAAACCTTGAAGCTCATCTTTGTACAAAGGTGCTTGCAAAACGGCTGAGTTTCACAAGGCGAGTCTTTGCGGTCCTGCACTTGTCACGCCCTAGTCACACGCAGGCGCAGTCGGGTGTGTGCTTTAGCACTACATTCTCCGTCGCAAGGAGAATCGACACGCTCGCCCGCAATGGACATGGTTCGAACTTCTTATTGAACCATCCGAGTTCAGTCGCACGCAGATCCAGAAAATCGCATGGCGCGTTGTAGCGATCTCATGAGAGCTCAGCCAGGCGCATGCGACTGACAAAAGCGGACAGTCGAACTGGCTTCATGACAGGGCTGTGAACATAGCCAAACGGCAAGCGGAGAGTTTGGGGCAAACCTTCCTTCACAGCTTTCAAAGTCCCAAGTGGGAGCCCTTGCAACAAGTTTCGCTACAGCGCAAATATCTGAGGTGAAAGGGAGTGTTCTTCAGTGCGACTCCGTGTTTCCAGGCCAAAAGAGCGAAACGCAAAACAAAGCAACCGGATCAAACGGGTCAAACGGGTCGAATGGGTCAAACGGGTCAAACGGATCAAACGAAAAAGCGCGGATCGGCACTTGCCACACCCTGCCAGCTATGTTCACTTTCGTTCGAACGGAACGCGACGCGCGTGCCGCGCCTTCGGGGCACAGATGACGTTCAGCACCACGGGGCCCGGCTCCACGAACCAGTCCTCGCATACGAATCTCTCGAGGCTCGAAGGCGAAAAAGCAACTAAACAACCTCTTGAGCAAAAAGCAAGAAAACAAACAGCAAGCACTTTTGAGCAAATTGCAAATGATTGCAAATGGAAAGTGGATTGAAAACATCGAAGTGCATCGAACACGGCTGGACTTCGGAGCCCAGGTCAAAGCGGCAAAGCCCGAAACTAAATAGAAAATCCAACAGAACAGCGCCTGCAACGTGGTGGCGTTGGGAAGCATCTCGCCCAACCTCGACATTCCCTCCATCCCTTCGATCCCGTCCACCCCTTCGGTCCCTTCCATCCCTTCGATCTATCCCTTCGATCTATCCCTTCGATCTATCCCTTCGATCCCTTCGATCCCTTCAATCCTTTGATCCCTGCGATACCTTCGATACGATTGTCTCTGGATTGAAAGTAGCAAGTGTTCCTTTTGGGCGAAGGCAATCTGTCACAAGTGCACAAAAGCTCTGTCAAAATGACATGTCACAACACCGGGATATACACCAACATGAGAACTCAAACATATCAACCAAAAACATAATCCCCATGTGCCTGCGATGGCGGAGACACACATCAAAAAGCAGGCTGACAGATATAACTTGCTGGCAACTACGCACCTCTTGCTTTAGATGAACATCTACAGGCAAGATCACTGCAGCTGTTTGGAAACTCACACATGTGATCCATAATATGTGTCCATTGACAGAATATCCATGAATACATCCGTTGACTCCCGAGTGCCTGTGCGAGACTCCCTTCACACTCGGCGCGAAGCTGAAACAAGCTGCGAGCTCGCGCTGGGCAGTTGCCACGCTGCGAGCTTACGTGAACTTGAGCAGTGCTTAGGCTCAAAGGTGTGGCGAACTTTAAGGAATGTCTCAGAACCGCGTCCAACAACTGCCTCTTAGACTTCCTGATCATACCCATACAAGTCCTGAACATGAGCTTGTGTGTGGTTTCAGCGTACCCAGCTCCTGGCCTTAAACAAATTGTTTTCAACAAGCAGGAAATGGAAAGAATCGGGCCCACCAGTGCCGCGGAAAATGTATCCCAATCAAGAGGTCTGATATATCACTACACCAACTGTTCTTGGCAACAATGAAGGGCAACAATGAAGTAGTAAGCAGCTGGTGCCTTCCAGACTACTTTGCAAAACTAGTTTTTCCTGGCTTCTTTTCCTTCCACTACCTAAACTGTCCTGTCCTTTCCCTTCCGTGGGTCCTGTTTCCAGCCCATCTTACAATCCAACACATGCTGCACTACACCGACACCAAGGAGACTTGCGAGCTCAATTAGTGGCCTTCTTCAGTTGACGGGCAGTTCTCATTCTTCCTGTCCCCGTTCAAAAGACACTCTAGTCTTTACCAAGGCAGCTGCCGCTGCCACGGTGCATTCCGTAGGCTACGCTTGTTAAAGCAACAAGAACGTTGATTTTCCCCCGCTTTTCCGCTTCATTTCCTTTCCTGTCCCCGTTCAAAAGACACTCTAGTCTTTACCAAGGCAGCTGCCGCTGCCACGGTGCATTCCGTAGGCTACGCTTGTTAAAGCAACAAGAACGTTGATTTTCCCCCGCTTTTCCGCTTCATTTCCTTTCCTGTCCCCGTTCAAAAGACACTCTAGTCTTTACCAAGGCAGCTGCCGCTGCCACGGTGCATTCCGTAGGCTACGCTTGTTAAAGCAACAAGAACGTTGATTTTCCCCCGCTTTTCCGCTTCATTTCCTTTCCTGTCCCCGTTCAAAAGACACTCTAGTCTTTACCAAGGCAGCTGCCGCTGCCACGGTGCATTCCGTAGGCTACGCTTGTTAAAGCAACAAGAACGTTGATTTTCCCCCGCTTTTCCGCTTCATTTCCTTTCCTGTCCCCGTTCAAAAGACACTCTAGTCTTTACCAAGGCAGCTGCCGCTGCATTCCGTACTACGCTTGTGCATTTTTCCGCTAGGCTACGCTTGTTAAAGCAACAAGAACGTTGATTTTCCCCCGCTTTTCCCGCTTCATTTCCTTTCCTGTCCCCGTTCAAAAGACACTCTAGTCTTTACCAAGGCAGCTGCCGCTGCCACGGTGCATTCCGTAGGCTACGCTTGTTAAAGCAACAAGAACGTTGATTTTCCCCTGCTTTTCCGCTTCATTTCCTTTCCTGTCCCCGTTCAAAAGACACTCTAGTCTTTACCAAGGCAGCTGCCGCTGCCACGGTGCATTCCGTAGGCTACGCTTGTTAAAGCAACAAGAACGTTGATTTTCCCCCGCTTTTCCGCTTCATTTCCTTTCCTGTCCCCGTTCAAAAGACACTCTAGTCTTTACCAAGGCAGCTGCCGCTGCCACGGTGCATTCCGTAGGCTACGCTTGTTAAAGCAACAAGAACGTTGATTTTCCCCCGCTTTTCCGCTTCATTTCCTTTCCTGTCCCCGTTCAAAAGACACTCTAGTCTTTACCAAGGCAGCTGCCGCTGCCACGGTGCATTCCGAGGCTACGCTTGTTAAAGCAACAAGAACGTTGATTTTCCCCCGCTTTTCCGCTTCATTTCCTTTCCTGTCCCCGTTCAAAAGACACTCTAGTCTTTACCAAGGCAGCTGCCGCTGCCACGGTGCATTCCGTAGGCTACGCTTGTTAAAGCAACAAGAACGTTGATTTTCCCCTGCTTTTCCGCTTCATTTCCTTTCCTGTCCCCGTTCAAAAGACACTCTAGTCTTTACCAAGGCAGCTGCCGCTGCCACGGTGCATTCCGTAGGCTACGCTTGTTAAAGCAACAAGAACGTTGATTTTCCCCCGCTTCTGTTGGGCTCATTCTCCAGGAAAGGCCCCGACTCACAAAAATTGCGTGGCGTGAAAACATGTTTTTGAGGCTAACACAACTTTTCGTGGCTAGGTGTCTCTCTTTCACAGAGTGTCTCGCGCTTCAATCTGCTCGCTTTTGAAAGAGACGAATTGCTCTTATCTTTGCTCCAACTGGCTCTCTCTGCTCCGTTGCCACAATTGCTCTTGTGTCACTGCCAGGTTACTTCTGAGGATCTAGCGAATTTTATCTAGCAAAGTTTAATCTCTCACTGTGTCTCCCGGCCAAAGGAGCTGGATGGCTGACACGTGCGCACCAGTAGTACTCTCCAGGCGCTGCTTGACGTCGCCAACCTTGAAATTGTGCGCATGGGACGCACGGGGCGCACGGACCACACGGGGCGCCTGGCCTTCTCAGTGGGGCTCACTACCAAACGCGTCACAGAGCGGCCACGCATGGTCCGCAGCAAAACCTGTCACTACTTGGGCACTTCCGAAGCGGGCTCTCACTCTCGTCACTCTCGTCACTCTCGTCACTCTCACTCCGTGCCTTGTAAGAGCCTTCGGGCACGTCGGGCTCTGAGCCACTTGTCCTGGTCGATGGGTGACACCCCCTGAGGCCCTGCCCTCGGGCCACGCTGCTATCAGATTATCTGGGCAGAAGGCGCAAAAAAGGAGTCTCGGCTTGGAGACATGGACGACATCACGGAGGGCGAACCTAAAACGTGAAGTTCTGAAGCTCTGAAGCTCTGAAGCTCTGAGATGTGAAGCGCCCTTGGCCAGTGGCTGGTTGGGGCTGTTGAAATCGAGCTTCTGGAAACCTCGTGTGTGACACTGAGACACTGAAGACAATCGAAATCGTCCGGCCTTCAGGCCACCAGCCTGGAAAAAGGTGAAGCTGGAGAACGCAAAATCAAAACAAGAAAGACAGCATAGACCCTCCTCACACCTCAACACACCTCCAAAAGCGCAGACAGCACCCCAAACTGCATGCCCCCTTGCATGCCGTGAATCTCGCAAAACTGCACCCGCGCCGGCACCCCCAAACAGCACCCCCCAAAGCATCAATCTCGCGAAAACGCCGCACCGTCACCAGCACCTCAAACAGCACCCCAAACAGCATCCCAAAACACCACCACCACCAGCATCCCAAACTGCATGCCCCCTTGCTCCAAAAGCACCCGCACGAACAACGCCCCAAGCAAAACCCGGCTGTCAATCGAGCAAAACATGCGCCGGCACCATCACCCTGAAGCCAAGACACCCAGCCGTCAATCTTGCGAAAATCAACCACACCCCAAACAGAATCCCAAACCACCACCTAAGCTGCATGCCCCCTTGCACCCTACCGTCAAAATGCAAACATGCGCCTGCAACGTCACCTGCATGCCCGATCGCACCCGAGCGTCAATATCGCAAAAATGCGCCCGCACACGGCACGTCATCACGGCACGTCACGTCTCGCTCCTCTCGGATGGACCCTTCCATGCAAGCAGCCTCAGTGGGGACTCGCATCCTCACGCCCTCACAGATCCCCTGGACCCCGCCTGCTGAAATCGCTTGGCCTGAGATCGAACGAAGCCAAGCCGCGCTCAACTTTGGGCCCTCTGAGACGAAAGCCATGAAGCCATAAGGGTCCTCTGGCCGCTCGCGTAGGAGGAGCTCAAAGAGCCCGTGCATGAACTGAGCATCGAAGCAAGTCGAAGTATCGAAGATCTCTTTTGCTCATCGCCTCATGCAGCCGGTGCTTGTCGAGATATGCCCGGGCATCCGCCTCCGCATCTCTCCTCTTGGCCTAAATAGGACTCGATTTGGTCGAAACCCGATGTGAGGGACTCGAAGCGAACTGAAGGCGCACTGGGCTGATGTCTTCCTCCCGCCCTAGCCGCAAACTGACGGCTCCAGGACGAAACGCAGCGAATCCACAAAACGCATGCAGATCTTGCCTGCTTTGGGCCTGGCAGGCTTGCGTCGGCTCACGCTGAGAATCACGTAAGGCGACATCCAGCACTGTCACGTTTTGCATTCGGGCGGACTTCAGCAGAAGGTTGGCAGGCTATCGATATCATGCTACCAGTGTTTGCAGTGGCTAGTATTCGCTATTTTTTTGTTAGCGCAGTTGTCCAAAGCAATGACTGCCATCCACCCTTCTCAAATATTGCGCAAGTTCCGGCTGGGTGCTACCCCATTGGCCCATGGTGGAAACACTCAATGAGCCACAGGGGTTAGTTTGGTGCATTCACATCATGGGTTACCTGGTGAGCAGTAAGCATGGCTACATGATCTATCCGGATTCAAAGCAAATAACAAAGGATCAGTCCCATAGGCCCTTGACTCACCCGACGCGAGATTAACAAAGGCTCTCATCTTGGTCCTTGCCCGGATGGAATAGCCAGCTTGCTGTAGCTCCCTATGCTGCGCGAGTTATCCCCGCGCGGTTTTGGCTTGTCCGTGCGCCCTGTGCGATACCGTTAGTCTAGCCGTTCGGCCCAAGCATTCTCTTTGCTTCTTCCGCTTTCGTCTTTTCACCCCATTTGCGGATTCCAAGGAGCTGCATAGGCTTTTAACCACAAGTACTCACACCCTACATCTTTCAGGGCCCACTGTTCTCAAATTCTCAATGCCAAATGTCGATGCCTCGAACCTCCAATCTGGAAGGTGACGCTCATGTGCCGCCTCGAGTCGACTCCGAGGCTCCGACTCTCCGAGGCTCCGAGGCTCCGAGGTTCCGGCCCATCTTTGCCCTCCAGCGGAAGCTTGAAGCCTCCGCAGCCGCACAAGCCATACGGCGCCGTACGGCGCCATACGGCGCCATGCGGAGCCATGCGAAGTGTAGGCCAACGGCTGTCTTCTCCAGCCAAAGTATGGACCGTCGTCTTCCTGTCGATGCACTCTCCCCAGAGGCCCGAGAGGCCCGAGAGGCCCGAGAGGCCCAAGAGGCCCAAGAGGCCCAAGTCCCCTTGGGGCACCCGAGAAGACCGAGGACGTCGATGCGCAGGGGCCACGGACCCGGTGGAAGCCTAAGAATGCCGCTTTTCTACGGGCAACACATCCAGAGCAAAAGCATAACCCACAGCAAGGCAAAATGGGATTGCATTTGCGCATTTGCATCTCTTACTTCCGGGCCTGAAGGGCGCCGAGCAAGGCAGCGCGCTCTGGCGGCGAGTAGGCCCAGAGCGCACTGAGAGGATGCTGCCTGACAGTTTCGGGGGGTTTGCGGAGGATGCGGCACCAGTGCCATCTAAACGGCAACGAACAAACGGACACTCATTGACATCTTGCCAGGTGTCAAGCTTCGGAGGGAAGGATACACGTCGTTTCCAGGAGAGAAGTTAGCGCTCCGTCAGTTTTTTGGGGTCTTCGCATGTTCGCATTTGGTTCGCGCGAAAACTCGCTCTGCACTTCTTGATTCGCATGTTCAATTGGCATGTTCATGGCCTTGCCGCAAACCTTGCCATTCGCACACACGCGCTTCCGCTCGAATGCCATTCAGAACTCGACCGCTAGGCGCCAGCGCCCCGTGGCGCATGCCGCGCTTCCACAAGGCATCGTAAATGGAGAAAAAAAAGGAGAAAAAAAAAAAAAAACGCCGCCGTGTCAAGCGAGAGCAAAGTTGGCGCGCATCGCGCCACGAGCGCTTTGCTCCGAGAGTCCCGGTCTTAAGACACGTCGAGACATGCGAGACGAGCGCCTTCCGGCAGGCCGACATAGTCCAGAATCGTAAGGTCCATCTCCGAATTGCAAAATGGTGGCTAAGGAGGGCACGCGCGGGTTGCTCAGTGCAAGCTCAAGTGAAGTCCAACAGAAACTATAGGTATTTATACAATATATGTACGTATATATCTAAAATGCATAGTATATCATAAGATATACATGGTTACATATATATATATATATACACATATGTGTGTGTTCTGTGTTCCAACTATATGTACGAAGCACGCGCTTTAAGAGAAAGTTGTCAAAGTGTTCTCAGTACATTTGCCCCTTGCGCCTTGAGCGCAGGGCCAAAAACTGCAGGACAGGGGTCTCAAAGGCCCATGCGAGAGGTCTACATGCCCGACATGCTCTTTCCGCTTTTCCGGCGTTTGCTTCGCTGCTAGCTTGAGCTGGACCTCGGCGCGAGAGGTCTCCGCGAGCACCAAGGCTGGTGTCTCTTGGGCTCAGACGACTGCCTGAGCAAAGCGTGACAGCGTGCTTGCGTGACAGGCGTGCGACTCGCGCGACTTGCGCGATGTGGCCTCTCCGGACTCCTCTGCGCGTGCCGTGTGGGCCTGAACCTAAGCAACTTGCAGCCCAGTCCTCTTGGCAGGCTCGCCCCAGGCACTACCGATGCCCTCCTCAATTCAAAAATCCGGAAGCGTTCAATTCAAATTGTTCAGTTCGTGCTTTTGCTTTTCGCTTCTCCCTTTCTCGTTTCCGTCTTGCCGTCCTTCTTTCCGGCGCCAGCTTTGGGCGGCAAGGTCTTGGCGCCGGAGGCCAAACTCGCCTGACCGGGCAATCGGGCAATCGGGCAATCGGGCAATCGGGACATCGGGACATCAGAACAAAACTTGAGCTCCGGACACGCGGCTCACCTGACCCGAAAACCCGACCGAAAGCAGCCAGAGACGTCGCCACCTCTCTTTCGCCCCTCTTTTATCTCTCCTTTTCTCCTTCTCCTTTTCTCCCTTCTCCCTTCCTCCTTACCCTCAACTCCCCTTCGCTTTTCTCCCTCTCTTTCCCTCTCTTTCCTCTATCGAAGTTTGAAAGCCTCGGCGTTCTGGGCCAGGGCGGTAGTAACCTGCGAGGGCGCGTCTGGCATTCGGACATCCGACGGAACCTAAGCTCCGAGCCCGTCCAGCCTCAGCTAACTGAGAAGAACTCACGTGAGACAGGGAAAAGAGCCGTGCCTGGATAGAGCCTCAGCGTCTTCACAATTGCAGCTTCTCCAAGTCAATACTCATGCACATCCATTGATTCCAACTGCACTCTGCTAAAAAAAAAAAAACAAGACCAGCTTTCGCGCCTGCCTGCCAAACGTCATGTGTCTTTTTCTCAATGTTTAGCTACATCGCGGAAACGCAAACATGCACGATAGTCAATTGCAGACGTTAAGCGAAAACATCCGGCTTTGCACGCCTGTCTACCTCTGTCAGCTCAAAGCCCCAAAGTGAGGCATTTTGAGCTTGCAAGGCTTGCAAGCTTGAATTCCTCTCTCGTGAGTGCAACTTGCGAGTAAACCTGCAAGATTTGACAGGCCCTCCGCACGTTACGCACGTCTGGTCTGCCAAGATGTTGATTAGAACCTGAACCCAAAGCTCAAGGGGCGAAACCTCAGGCCAATGGGATACGTCACCAAGATCTGCCCTATTGCTCAACACCCTGGAGGCACGTGAGTGCAGAGAAAGCACACGAAATATATCAAATCCAACCCAGCGGGCCGTACAAAGACGGACAATGAACAAAAACCAAGCAATGCTAGACATACATTGGCTCAACGGCTTCGACTCATACACAAGTACGTGTAAAATCTATATATGAGATGTGTTAAATATGAACATACATATATGCGCGCACACACAGAGAGAAACGCAAACCAGCCAGCAAACAAAACAAAACGAAACAAACGAACACAGGAAAAGAAAGAGAAACAAAACAGCAAGCAAGCAGGCAAACAGGCAGGCAAGCAAGCAAGCAATCAGGCAAGCAGTCAGCAGTTAGGCAGGCAGGCAGGAAGGCAGGCAGGCAGGCAGGCAAGCAGGCAAGCAGGCAAGCAGGCAAGCAGGCAAGCAGGCAAGCAGGCAAGCAGGCAAGCAGGCAAGCAGGCAAGCAGGCAAGCAGGCAAGCAGGCAAGCAGGCAAGCAGGCAAGCAGGCAAGCAGGCAAGCAGGCAAGCAGGCAAGCAGGCAAGCAGGCAAGCAGGCAAGCAGGCAAGCAGGCAAGCAGGCAAGCAGGCAAGCAGGCAAGCAGGCAAGCAGGCAAGCAGGCAAGCAGGCAAGCAGGCAAGCAGGCAAGCAGGCAAGCAGGCAAGCAGGCAAGCAGGCAAGCAGGCAAGCAGGCAAGCAGGCAAGCAGGCAAGGCAAGCAGGCAAGCAAGCAAGCAAGCAAGCAAGCAAGCAAGCAAGCAAGCAAGCAAGCAAGCAAGCAAGCAAGCGAGCGAGCAGCCAGGCACGCAGGCAAGCAGGCAGGCAAGCAAGCAAGCAGGCAGGCAGGCAAGCAAGGATGCACGCACCCACAAACACAACAACACACAAAGCAAAGCTCAAACGAACTCAGCGCCAGGCGGGAAGGGGGGTGCCAAATGGCAAAGGGCCCCTCCACAAGGTCCACATGGTGCGACCGGAATGGGATGCACCGGATGCACGGGGTGCACGGAGTGCACTGGGATGGGGTGTGCCAAGGGCAAATGGTGCACCGGGTGCACGGGGTGCACGGGGTGCACCGCGTGCAGGTGCGGGTGGTGGGTGGTAAGAGGGGCGTGCGGGGCATGCGGGACGTGTGGAGCGTGGTGGGAACGCGGGGTGGGGGCGTGAAGGTGCGCCGGAAGTGGATGCACAGTGAGCTGAGGAGCTTGAGGTGGAGGTTTGCCTCAGGGGCGGACCGACCCACTAGCCCAACCTACCTGCCATTTGAGCTGGCTGCTTGGAGGATATGCCTCGAAACTCGAACTTTAGAACATGCCAAGACGGCACTTCCTGAGAGCGACTCATAATGGTACGGGTACGCCTTGACTTCGGCGCTTGCTTTCGACCTGCACCGCAACAAACCACTGCCTTACTGCCGCACCACCTCGCCTGCGACGGGATTTTGAAGAGCTAGCCTGTCAAAAGCACAGTGACGGTTGCAGCCTTGGCCTCGCGAAACGTCGGCCTGCCGATCCTGCAAAACGTCAATTGCTTTTATCCGCTGCCCGACTCACTTTGACGTTGCAGTCCTTTGATCGCTTCCTGCGCGAGACGACAGAGCAACGATAAGTTGGTCCCTTTGCGCCCTCGCCTTTTCCTTGGCTTTGTCCTGGCAGTGACTGTCCAACTTTCCACTCGGAGGTGTGTTCTTTCCCGGCCTCGAGCTTGAGCTGCTGGAGCTTTCCTGGAACCCGTTCCGATTTCTGTACTCTGACACGGATTCGGAATGGATCGGATTTTGACATATTTCAATCTTTCATTCGTAAGCGTCGCAAAGGTGTCCGCGCACTAAGCGCGCAGCAGGCTCCGCAGGCTCCGCAGGCGCCGCAGGCGCCGCAGGCTCCGCAGGCGCCACACGCGCGGGCGCCGCAGGCGGTGGAGCTGCCTTTCAAAACGGAGTTCTCCGCCTTGAGCTGAGCGCGAGTCCGCGAGTCCACACTCCACACCTTCTCCTTCTCGGCACGCCTTGGGCTGATTTGCTAGGCAATAAAGCAGCTTCTTGCTGCCAAGGCGCGAGGAAGAAGAGGAAGAAGAGAACTGGGGCAAAAGAGGGCAAGCACAGGGCACACATGCCCGAAAACTAACACATGGCCTCATCCTCGGAATCGACCTGTCAAGTCGTCATAGTCTTTCTCCGCGTTCACTTTTCTTCGTGCAGTAGCCCGAAGAGCCCAAGCAAACGCAACGCAACGAGCGCAAATGCCGAGTGAAGTAGAATTTCGGCACTTGCTTGCTGCCAAAACCTCTCTTAGGGCAGTTGGGAACGCCTAGCGCGCTGAAAGTACAACATCGCAACCCATTGCGGCAATAAAGAACAAACGCTGCCCTGTTGCGTTGCCCCCTCCGCTGCTCTGCACAAGTTTCTCTCCGCAAGATGCTCAGTGCTTGTGCTGCGCCCAAGATGCTTGGCCTGAGCTGCGGAGGCGCTCGCGTACTACCTTTGCAGCCGGAGCTACGGGAGTACGCTCCCTTGAAGGTTGCATTGAGCAGCGGGAGCGCAGCACGCTCCTCGTACTACAAATTGTGCGTGAAGTAACTCCTGGAAAGTTGGCGCCCAAAAACGGTTGTTGCTGGCAGCGCTTTGTATCAGGCAGCAAAATGCATGCCAGCTAGTTTTACTGCTAGAATTTGTCAAACACGTGCGCGCGTCCAAAAAAACCAGCGGGACACACACCTTTCACGACTTTGTACCTTTTAGTAAGGCAAGAAAATACATGTTCTTCCCAACGCGCCACGTTTCACTTCCGAGTTGACGCGCAAACAAAACTGGTGTGGGACTGAGTTGATCATGCCCGGCGGCCCCCGCACGCTTGCGACAGTGACGCAAACGACGGTTGGCGGGGAAATGGGTTTGCAAGCTCTTGACGGCTGGTTTCTGCCTGCTTCGTGCGGACCAAGGGAGGGTCGGGCCAGCCGGCTTCTTTCACGAGCAACGGTTCACGCGCTGCTGCGCCCCAACCTTGCGCCAAGCCTTGCCGCAATAACAGCATTAGTCAAGGCAGAAGTGGTCTGCCCGCAATGCGACCTGCAGTTGCCCGGCTCGCGCGTTGCGCCAACATCGACAGAGAAGAGTTGGCGTCGCAGCTGCTACATGCGGCAAAGCAACCTTAGATTCGCAAGGGCTCTTTGATTGAACTTTGACAGCCGGCAAGACACACATCTCAAACGGGGCGCAGCTGAAAAAACCGCGTGGCGCAAACGTCTCAGCTTCGCAACTTGCGCTGATCGACAGCACATCTGACGGCACGCCTGTGCAGCTGCTGGCCTGCGAGGGGCTCCGCGCACGCGGGCCAGCGGCGCGCTTGGCTCTCAGCCCAGGACAGGGGCGGCGCGCCAGGCCGGAAAGGATCAAAGCCTCAATCCGCAAGACGCACACAGATCGGAAAGTCTGATCTTTTGCACAACCAGAGACGGCCGCGGCCTGCGTTAAACAACCCGTCGGCTTCCACCCTCCAAGTATTTGCTTGTAAGCACCGTCAGAGAAAAAAAACTAAAGCAGTCGTACACCTGCGAGGACTGCGGAGCCGTCCCTTTATGAACCAAAAACTCATTCATTTCATTAAAACGACTTGCTAAGATTAATGCGTCTGCTTTCAACCCAGAACCCTATATAGAGTGTAACATCATGGTTCGTATGTCTATGGTTTAAAAGAAACATCATAGATTTCATTTTAGACAGCCAACAAGACGCAACTGATACAAAAAGAAGGGAGGCAAACACAAAAAACTCAAAATAGGCGATCAGACCTACAGATACGATAAGAACAAGCCCGTTTCAAAGGTGCTGAACACGAGACTCAAGGAAGTGGCGAGGAGCGACGGGCAAACAACAAGCAGTCAAGGGATACGCCAACACATATTCAGTCAGCGATATAAGCTTAAAAGGGACGAAAGGCTTCCTACAACCAAAAACCCCAATGTGAAGCTAACTGTGGAAACCGATTTGGCATTCAAAAATCCTAACAATGAAGTCATCCAACGAAGACTGCAAAGCGGGTAATACAATGTTCATAACCCCGATGAGTTGAACGGCGTCTTAAGCAACATTGGTCATGACATTGAGTACATTCAGTCGGGTTTGGCTCTTGCACAAGTTGAAAAGTTAGTCATCAGTTTTGATAGGTGTACTCCTACTCGTGGCTTATGCTTTAAATATCCTGTTCAATGTCATTCTCATGAGAGATACACAAAATACCATCCCTGCGAGGTGTACCATTATAAGACATATGTTAGTGATAGTTTTATCAAATTGGACGGAATATATTTTCCAGTAGGCAATGATGAGATTGAACAATTTGAAGATATGAACAAACACATGTCAGTCAATGCCTGCTACATCAACCCCCGAAATGAATAGTAGAACCATTCTGTTATACAAAAGAAGCAACAACCCACAAGCGCAACACAAAACAGATTTGATCAAATTAGATGAAGGGACTACGTCACACTATGCTTAAATCAAAAACTATGATAAGTTAATGAGTAGTCAATATAACAAGATGAAGGCGAACAAGTATCATTGTAGAACCTGGTTTCAAGACCGAGGAGCTATTAAAACAACACGAAGAGAAAGGATGCCTAGCGGTGGAGGGGCAACAAATACAGATGCCAAAAGTGGGTGAAACAATAGCATTCAAAAATCATTTTTGAGAAACTGAGAGCACCCTGCAATCTATGCCGACTTTGAATGTTTGACTGTGCCTGTTGATGTTAAAAGCAAACCAGCAAACGCGAAAACGACATCATATCAAAACCATCGACTGTGTGGCTTTATGATTGACGTGGTCAATGCCAAAACTGGAAGCATGTAATCTAGGACTTAATATGAGGTATTAGAAAATTCCCGTGTCTCTTCATAACCTTAAAAGCTACGATGCTCACCTAATCGTTCCCAAGGCTCAGAAACTGAACGAGAAGTCTAAAAAAGACTGTGTCGCTCAGAACGATGAGAAGTTCATCACCTTCGGATTCAAAAATATTTGCTTCAAGGACAGTTTCAGTCTTTTATCATCTTCTTCGGATAAACCAGCTAAGTTTAGCAAAGATGAGGTTGATAAAAAGCGTGAGAATCGGAAGAACAAGTTCAGATAAATACAGTGTTAGAAACCCGTATGTTAAAGCCGATGATGACTGACCGATGAAGGTATTTATCCTCATGACGACTTTGATAACTTTAGCAAAAGTAGCAAAGCGCTTTACCACCGCAGGACGCATTTCATCGTAAATTGAGCGATAAAAAAACAGTACTAAAGATTATGAAAGGGCATTGAAAGTATGGAAGCATGTAGGGAATACTACAGCTTAGACCCCGCCCATTCTTGCAGGCTTCCTAATTTTGCATTCGATGCTACGCTTCTTAAAAATGATGTGGAAATAATAGAACAAATCAGCGATAAGGAAGTGTATGACAAGATTGAGAGGGTATGAGAGGTGGAATGTGTCAAGTCAGTCATAAATTTGCTTTGGCGGATAAAAAGCATGTGACTGGACAATACGACCCCGCAAAACCGAGTAGCGCATAGATTTCTTCGATGCGAATAATCTGTATGGTCTGGCGATGTCTCAAAAGTTGCCATTTAAAAACCTCAAATGGGGAAAGAAACACCAAATGTTGAACAGCGGGATGAAAGTGATGAGTTCGGCTATATTACGGAAGCTGATTTAATAAAAAACAAAATAAAGCATCCCTAAGCATTGCACCATTACCACTCTGACTATCCACTGGCACCTGAAAAACAAATGTACATGTGGGTATGCTTGCCGGTCATCAAAAGGAAGTCTACAAAGCATGTTATGATGCAAAACCCCGAAGGGTGGGACAAGCAGTAAGTCAATACTGAATTGGAAGGACAAAGAAAAGTATGTGTTTCATATCAAGACTTACAGTATTGTCCAAAAAATGGATTGGAGATGACAGTTCATAGGATAATAAAATTCCACAACCCTTGATTGACCTCAACACTGGTAACAGGAAAGAACCGAAAACTGAATTTGAGAAAGAGCTCTACAAGTTGGTGAAAGATTCTGTGTATGGCAAATCTATGGAAGCTGAAACCATATCTTGGAATTAATAGATAATGGGGTAAGATACGAAAAAATGTGAATGATCCAACTTTCAAACATCGGTCTGCGATAACTGAAAATCTGCCAGGGGTTGAAAAACGCCAACGCGACTCTGAAATTGGACAAACCCATGTTCTTAGTCATGACAATGTTGGATTTGAGTAAGTTACATATAATACATCCAGCGAAACTGTACCCGGTGCATGGAGGAGATGCCCAAACAAAGTGAAAATTGTTTCTGTCAAACTGTTTATAACCCCATTCAAGTATATCACAAGTATTATCAGCATCTTCAATCCCAATGATATACAGTTCAAACCAAGCGACCTTGCAACAGCCCCAACCAACCCACTACCTAAAACAGTCTAATGAACTCATAGTATTAGAACTACTTAAATATTAACAGGTTCAATATTTCAATCGCAATTTGATTTGTTTGACATTTGCTAGATGCTTGATGTCTCTTCATCTAGTCATTCCTACAAAGTTGACGACACACACTACATTCTACCTGCTTCCCTCTTTTTCCTTATTCCTTTCATAACTTGCTGTGTCATATTCGGTGAGCTTATCACGGTTGAGCGCTCTAAGCCCTTTGTTGTACTCTTTCCCATTTTTTGTTCACTTCTAGTTGTTGCCGGTGTTCTATTGCTGGTCTCCCCGTGACTTGCTTATTCACGCAGGCAGTGCTGCTTATATGGTGTCCTTCTTGTCTTTGTAATTCTTCTGTGCTAATGCACGGGTAATTTTCAATCAGTTCAGTTTTACACTTGCCCAAACCGTGTTCATCAAACAGTTCAAATGATGCCATCCTTCCACACTTTTGGTTTTGATGTATTTCATAATTACCTCTATGTCCTGTCATTCTCTGACTTAAACTCTCGCGGGTACTTCCAAGATAACATTCGTTATAAAGTTATTACCTATGTCCGTGATTTTGTATAGTTTACTGTTTTTATACCTACTGCAGTAGTAACCATGAAAGAAAATTATGTTGGGTGGGTGCGTGCGCGCGTGAGTAAGTGACTGAGCGAGCGGGTGCGTGAGTGAGTGAGTGAGTGAGCGAGCGAGTGAGTGAGTGAGTGAGTGAGTGAGTGAGTGAGTGAGTGAGTGAGTGAGTGAGTGAGTGAGAGAGTGAGTGGAGTAAGTGGAGTAAGTGGAGTGAGTGGAGTGAGTGGAGAGAGCGGAGTGAGCGGAGTGAGGGGAGTGAGGGGAGTGAGGGGAGTGGGTGGAGTGAGTGGAGTGAGTGGAGTGAGTGGAGTGAGTGGAGTGAGTGGAGTGAGTGGAGTGAGTGGAGTGAGTGGAGTGAGTGGAGTGAGTGGAGTGGGTGGAGTGGGTGGAGCGGGTGGCGTGGGTGGAGTGGGTGGAGTGAGTGGAGTGAGTGGAGTGAGTGGAGTGAGTGGAGTGAGTGGAGCAAGTGGAGCAAGTGGAGCGAGCGGAGTGAGTGAGGTGAGTGAGGTGAGTGAGGTGGGTGAGGTGAGTGAGGTGAGTGAGGTCAGTGGGGTGAGTGGGGTGAGTGGGGTGAGTGGGGTGAGTGGGGTGAGTGGGGTGAGTGGGGTGAGTGGGGTGAGTGAGGTGAGTGAGGTGAGTGAGGTGAGTGAGGTGAGTGAGGTGAGTGAGGTGAGTGAGGTGAGTGAGGTGAGTGAGGTGAGTGAGGTGAGTGAGGTGAGTGGGGTGAGTGGGGTGAGTGGGGTGAGTGGGGTGAGTGCGGTGAGTGAGGAGTGAGGTGAGTGAACAACATTTGGAGAAAAGGAAGAAACTACAAAGGCAAAGGAAAAGGCAAAGGCCACTACAAGGAACCAGGAGCAAAGGATGCTACAAGGGTTTGACAAAGGCAACAGAGGAAGCTACAAGAAAGGAGGATACAACAAAAGCAAAGGAACTCAACAGGGAAAGAAACACAGCGAACCAGAAACCGGGACCCTTATTAACCCCAGTCCGGTAGGCGAGCGCAAACCCTGGTTTTGATCTGATGGGCATCTTGAGCCAAATGTCATTGCCATTCGACAAGTCCATACAAAGCAAAGGGGCCTCCAACATCACCCAACATCACACACATGCACACCCTTCTGGGGTACCTCTTTGGGGGTCAAGGGGTCGTGATTATTCAACTCCCCTCCCCGTGCTCACTAAGAGACTTGTACTTTACAGTCGCGCTTGAGCTGCGACCTATGTGATGCAAGGTCCTTTACCAGACCATAAGGAGGGCTTACCTATGATTTTGCACTTTTGTTACTGCTTGGACATCTCTGGCCGGATATCTTTCAGCTTTTCAGGCAAATTGGTTCTGAT